GGCTTTCCAGTACAGTTAGGATACCACCTGAGCTCCTCATGGTAGGCCTGCGCAGACTCCCCCAGCCTCATTTCCCACCCTCCCTATGCCTGCTGACTTAGTAAGCCACAGCCGCACCGGGTCTCTATGGGTTCTTTAACAACACGGTTCCCCATCTTGCTTCCAGGCATCCACGATGCTCCTCCCTCCCCTGGAAAGCTATTCTTTCCCCACCTCTTTGTCAAGTGAAACCCTTGCTCATCATTGCAGTCTTAGAATAGGTATCTTTTCTTAAGGTGTCCATTCCTGACACTTCCACCACCAGGCTAGATCCTCACAGCATCCACTTCCTCCAGCCCTTATCACTGCTGAAATTGCATCATCATTTATCTACTCTTTCTCCCACACCAGCAATAAACCTTCATCGAGGCAGGGGCTAGAGATAACCCCTACGTTTCAGTGCCTGACAAAGAACTAAACAGCTCGATAAGAACATGTGTTACTGAATTATCGAGGTAGGTAGGAGGTGGTGGAGATTTAGCATCTCACCTCTTTCTCCACTTGAACTCCATGCTCCAGTGGGTCCCTTAAGTTTCCAAGCCCTTCATGTCATTCTCCTTCCTCCCTCCTGTGTCTAGAGGGTCTTTCTAGGAAGTCATGAGAAGCCAGAACAATTGAAAAGCAGATCACAAAAAGGCCTAGGCACTGGTGGGTAGGAAGGAAGGGGACCCGCTAGGACATCATTTTGCAAAGGCAGCAAGAGTATTAGGCTTTGATCTAGAACCAGAAATATCATTTGATCCAGCAATCCCATTGCTGAGTATACCCAAAAGGAATATAAACCGTCCTACTATAAAGACGTGCACACGTATGTTTACTGCATCACTACTTACAATAGCAAAGACTTGGAACCAACCCAAATGCCCATCAATGATAGACTGGATAAAGAAAATGTGGCAAATACACACCATGGAATACTATGCAGCCATAAAAAAGAATGAGTTCATGTCCTTTGTAGGATGAAACTGGAAGCCATCATTCTCAGCAAACACAAGAACAGAAAACCAAACACCACATGTTCTCGCTCATAAGTGGGAGTTGAACAATGAGAACACATGGACACAGTGAGGGGAACAGCACACACTGAGGCCGGTTGCGGGTGGGGAGCTCGGGGAGGGACAGCATTAGGACAAACACCTAATGCATGCAGGCCTTAAAATCTAGATGACAGGTTGATAGGTGCAGTAAGCCACCATGGCACATGTATACCTATATAACAAACCTGCATGCTCTTCACATGTATCCCAGAACTTCAAGTAAAATAATTTTTTTTTTTTTTTTTTAAAGACAATTAGCCTTTGTTCCCTCGCCTCTGCCTGGCAATCTGGTGGGCTGCATTTATCCAGCACCCAAGCCGACTGCCCCAGGCCTGCAGAATTGAAACCTTCCACTGGGTGGCACCAGACCACAACCACCTGTGCCCACCCCCCCAGGTCTCCCAGGACCGAGTGAAGGAACAGGGCAGGCACCCTCAGGAACTGTGGGGCACCCACTATCAGTCCTCCCCACGACACAGCACGGGGGGGACACGCTACTGGTGTCCATGGAAACTGGGCCTGCCCTCCCCTCCCCCCAACATTCTAATCTTCCTGATCAGCTTGCTTAAGGAGGGTCAGCTATGCAGGGAGTGGAAAGAGATCTCAATGGGGCTTTGAGATCTGGGGCTTTCCAGTCTAGGTTTCGTCACAGTAACCCTGAACATGCCACTTTATTCACTCCACTCCCTGCAACTCAAGTGGGCACTGGTTCCTTTGCTCATTCATTCATTCATTGATGTTTAAGTGTAGTTATTACAAGTGGTAACTGAGAGCCCAGGAAGGTGAATCCACTCGTCTGCATGCTGGAGTGTGGTCTCTACCTGGGGAACCCTTCGTGGGTAGTGCTCTCTGTAAACACCAAACCTCCTTAACCTCTTTCTATGTGTAACTCTTGGCACCTTTTGGAATAACCAGCCTGCAGGTTCACAAACCAGGACAACAAGTAGTAGCTAGCTGGGCATAGTGTCCTGTGCCTGCAGTTCCAACTACTCTGGAGGCTCAGGTGGGATGATGCTTGAGCCCAGGAGTTCCAAGCTGAGGCCACAGTGAGCTATGATTGCCTCTGTGAACAGCCCCGTGCATTCCAGCACGGGCAACACAGGGAGAACCTGTTTCCTATTTTTTTTTTTTTCCTGAAAAAAAGTAGTAGCTTTTTATACCCAAATGTTACCCTTTTACAGCCTAAAGGAATAACATTCTACCTCCCGGTCCTGGAACTGGTGAACAGTGCACATTCACCCTCTCCATGTAACTGCATTCTTTATTTTTGTTACCTTGATGACAGCTCAGCTCCCAAGGTTACCGTCCAAACATAATGTGACTCGATCTGCCTGTCTTCAGGCAGCCACCGCCTACCTGGGCCCGAGTCTCCAGGGCTCTCCTCTCCTGAATGCCCCATATCGATACCTACTCTGTAGCTTTTTTTTTTTTTTTTTTAAATAAAAAATTGTATCTGTCTTCTGTACAAGCAAAATGTGTTCATTTTAGGAAATGTGAAAAATAGCAAGAGAAGCGTAAAGAAAACAGAATTACCCATGATCTTAGACCAAAGTTTCTCAACTTCGGCACAATTCATGTTTTCAAGTAGAGCAATTCTTTGCTGTGGTGTCCAGTAAATTGGGGGAGACTTGGCATCATCCCTGGTGTCTACCCTCTTGTTGCCAGTACCACCCCTGCCCCAGGTGTGACAATCCAAGGGTCTCCAGACATTGTCAAATGTCCCCTGATTGATAGCCATGGTCTTAGATGCAGACAGAGCCACCATCGATTCTCCAGTTTATTTTTCTTCTAGTCCTTCTTCCTCACATAAGTATAGATTTCCTTCTCCCAAATAAGACTATGTACGCTTTGCACGTCCTACTTTTACTACTCTGTATTATGTTGTGAGTACTTCCCCAAATCATTGCATTCTCCTTAGAAGCATGCTTCCTAATGGCAGCATAGCATCACTGGCTAACCTCCAGCGCCATAATCCCGTTGACCCATCCCCTGTTGCAGGACAGTTAGGCTGGATCCAGTGTTAAGGTGCTGTAAATAATGCTTGAATGAACAGCTTGCACATATATCAGAACCTCTCAAGATACCCCAAGAACAGACACTAGAGGAGAAATCCCTGTGTCGATGGCTTATAATGCACACTGTTAAGTCAGCTTCTGAAATATCCGGTTAGACCAGTGTCCATCCTTTAAAATGGATGAATAACAACTTCATAGTATTTCAGGAGGTGATTATGGTCTATTAGGGATGAAAGTCATTCTTCCTCAAATTTTGAGGGTGGGGAGCTGTTTCTAACATTCTTCCTGATGATGCTGAGGGCAGCACCAGAGTTCTGTCGCTGTTGCTGAACCACATCAGAATAAAGGCTGATGTCTTCAGAAAGACTCTCAAGTCAGGAGACAAGTGAGTTTCACTTCAAACAGGTTGACAGAATCTGTGTTGAGAAGACAAGCTGGGAGCTCAGCAGCAAACACACAAAGCCAGGGTGATTCATGACGGGTGATGTGAGCAGCGGAGAGAACGGGACTGACAAGCCAGCTGTGTGCTACTGACTGCCGGTCCACTGCTCAGGAGTGGTCTCACACCTACAGAGTCAGCACTACCTCGGAGAGGCCGGAAACCCAGAACCTCAAGCCCCACCTTGGACCTCCTGGATCAGAATCTGCATTTCAACAAGAAGCCCGGCTCACTCTAAGTCCATCAAAACTTAACAAGTTCTGACCTACATGGAGGTTCAAATTCTTTTCCAGAGTTAACTGAATTGGAGCCCAGCACTCAGCCCTCCTAAGAGAATAACCTTATAATGTTCCCCCAAATTAACACTCTTGTCCATGTTAGAGCTGAGTGTCACATTTCAGCTGATTATACTAACAGCCCATGGGGCCCCAGATGTTGCCAAATGTCCCCTGATTAAGAACCATGGTCTCAGATGCAGACAGAACCACCATCCATACTCCAGTTTATTTTTCTTCCAGCCATTCTTCCTTATGGTAAGTACAGATTTCCTTCTTTCAGGGACTGGTGCCTAGAATCCACTACATACGCAGCTGCTGTCATCATCGTCATCAATATTAGCATCAGGATCATCATCAGTGATCATGATTGTCATCATTTTCATCATCGCCCCCAGGGTTCTGGCATTTTAATGCCTGGCAGAAGTTGCTGGAGTTTGGAAGCTTCATTAAGAACATCTTGATAATTCATGGGTAGACTAAATAAGGTGAGTCTTCAGTTTTTTAGGCACAGCTTAATGTAACTAGAAGAGCCGTAAGAGTTGGCCTCAAGGTCCAGGCTGACCAGTGAGTAATCTTGTGAGCCTGTGCAGGTCATATAACTGGTTGGACCTTGGTGACAACATGCGTAGTATGGGAATGTTACTGATGCCTAATTCACACGTTTGCATAAGCATCAAGTGGGATGGAGATTGAGAAAGTAGTTTGGAAATCCTAACACATATCCCCATTTCCTTCCATCCCATAGCAGTCTCTATGCTAGTTTATTCAGTAAGATGATCAAATTTTACTAAATTCCATTCTGGGTAGTCTGGGCATGGGAGGGGTAGGGTAGAGACACGGAAAATGGTCTGGCACATCCATACTCTTAAAGGAATGGGAAACATAGGCTTCATGTATTGGGAATCCAGACCACAGAATGGAACTCTGTCCCAGTGGTTTCAACCCCATCCCCGTCAGCCCCTCCTCCAAACCGCCGCCAACTTCTAGAAGACCAACAAACCACAACCATCCAACCCTCTCTCCATCAGGGAACACTGAAATAACCCAGATACAGCAACCACTTTCTACCTGAGGGGGCAGAACTGGGCTGCAGCCACCTGGACTCCCCTGATGGACTTGTCTTAAATGAAGCCTTCCTGGGCCTGCAAAGGCAGCGAGCGACCTCTATACCTCCCTTAACAGGACCCCTTACCTGGGAATCACCGGTGGATTTTCGGACACTCATGTGGGCAGTCTCTGCAGGGTGCGCTGGGGTCCCTGACGCGTGGTATCCATTCACTGCAGGGACAGAGACACGGCTCAGATGCTGTGTGGGCCACAGACGGGCACCCCCGCCTTTTGTCCACTGCAGCCCCTTTTCCCACCTCTGAGAGGTCTTGCGTGGCAAAGACCATCCCTCAGGACTTATCTGTATCTGCAGAGCTGGAAATGAGTTGAAGACATCTCTCTAATCCTCAGCACCCAAATCACCAAATTCTCAGGGGACTGAGTTTCTTCTTTAACCCGACAGCAAAAGGAATGTGCATAACAGGAGGTGAGGTCGAGATGGTCTAGCTGCCATTGCTACAAATGCCACATCAGTGGTAGTTACAGATGCCAATCACAGGTCTAACCTCCCACTGCAGAGCTGGGGGGGGGGGCCCTCCATCACCTTCCTACAATTTCCCTCATCTCTCTTAGTAACTTCTCCACCCTCAAACTCAGAGCAGCAGGATGTGAGCAAACTGGAAAGAGGACTGGATCGATTGGTCACCATGAAATTAGGCTCTGTCAATTAACAGCCAAGGTGGGCGTATGCACTTCATTCTTGAGTCACTGTTCTCCTGGAATTAAAAATACATAATCTGGCTGGGTGCAGCAGCTCACGCCTGTAATCCCAGCACTTTGGGAGGCTGAGGCAGGCGTATCACCTGAGGTCAAGAGTTTGAGACCAGCCTGGCCAACATGGTGAAGCCCCCTCTCTACTAAAAATACAAAAAAATTAGCGGGGCATGATGGCAGGCACCTGTAATCCCAGCTACCCAGGAGGCTGAGGCAGGAGAATTGCTTGAACCCGGGAGGCGGAGGTTGCAGTGAGCTGAGATCACGCCACTGCACTCCAGCCTGGGAAACAAGAGTGAGAAACTCTGTCTCAAAAAACAAACAAAACTCACAATCTGAGGTTCTAAAATTCTACCCTTAAAACTTTATGTCTCTTGGGGGACACTAACCCATGCTCCCAAAGCTTTCTGATAAACCTGCTCTCCAAGGGACAGGGGAAGCCCTGATATGTAGTATCTGCCAATTTATGTGCCAATGACCCCCCCCACCGCCATGGGTGGTTTCAGGCCTCAACACCACTGCGTGCTCCCAACATCATGAATTCACACTGGAACCCACGTGGTCTCGGCTCCCAGGCGGTACCGCTCTCGTAGGAATATAACTACATAAGCTTAGAGGAGCAGTTTCTCTTCAGTGACCCCCAGCTTTCGCACCTGTAAAATGGGGATAATTCCAGCTAGTCTCCTGACCTGCTTTGTTGGTGTGAGAATCCAACAAAGTGATAATTGCAGAAGTTATAAGTAGTCATAAAGCACTTTGTTTAAAAAAGGGAAGGATGAAAAATGGGGGTGCAGTAGCTCAGCCCTGTAATCCTAGTACTTTGTGAGACTGAGAGAAGAGGATCTCTTGAGTCCAGGAGGTCCAGACCAGCCTGGGCAACACAGTGTGACCCCATCTCTATTTTTAAAAACAGAAACAATTTAAAAAAATTAAAAAGGGTGGGATGGCCGGATGCAGTGGCTCACACCTGTCATCCCAGCACTTTGGGAGGCAGAGGCTCACACCTGTCATCCCAGCACTTTGGGAGGCAGAGGCTCACACCTGTCATCCCAGCACTTTGGGAGGCAGAGGGAGGATTGCTTGAGCCCAGGAGTTTAAGATCAGCCTGGACAACACAGTGAGACCTCGTCTCTACAAAATAATTTTTTTTTTATTAGCTGGGTGTGGTGACTCATGTCTGTAGTTCTAGTAACCCCGGAGGCTGAGGTGGGAGGACAGCCTGGGCCTGGGAGGGGGAGGCTGCAGTGAACTGTGATGGCACTGCTGCACTCCAGCCCACACTTCAGAGTGTGACACCCTTCTCAAAAAAGTGGGGGAGGGGAGGCATGCAGAAGGGGAAGGTCATTGCTTTCATTCCTGAACTGAGTCCCCAGGAACCACAAGCCTGCGTGATCTCTAGAGACCAGGACAACACACCATCCCCGTGACCCAGGCTTCAAGTAATTGCCAATACGTATATAGAATGTGGGTCAGACTGGAGGAAGATCTATGTCCAACTCATGATTCTTCTGGAGAAAACACTATAGTGTGGCAGGCAGCACAGGAGAATATGGCTGAAGTTACCAACACCTACTAATTTGGAGTGAAAAGGGCTGGAGGTAAGCGTTGGGAAATGGGGTGATGAAGGCCATTCCACAGAGAACCCGTCTCATGCTGAGGCGGTACCCCATTTCCACCGCTTGCAGCGAAAACTCCAGCGCCAGGCAGGGCCACATGCAGCCACGTGCCTGTGGGCAGCTGGGCTTCTCCCTGATCTACAGGGTTTGCCCCCCTATTCCGGAAGAAGGTAGCTGCACAGATATCAAGGAAATAGAAAACTGATACACAGCAGGCCTCGAGTGCAGTGGAAGCTTGGAGAAGCAACAAGAAACAACAGATCCACCCTGCAGGGCCAGCTACTAGCCTGGGCCACACCCATACCCCTTAGGCAGCTGGCCAAGTGCAGATAACATCCACCTGCTAGGAAGGCAGCTTAAGAGACGATGCCACAATTCCAACAGCATCAGAGAGAAGGCTGAGGGCACCAAGGAGAATTCACTTTGACAGTCAGAAAGGTATGCCAGGAAAGACATGAGCCCGATGACAAATACACCCCACAATGACAGCAAGATAGTTGAGACATTTTATTTATTAAATAGCGTTAGAACTAAAATGGGTAAAACACAAATACTGAAAAACCTAAAAACAACAGCAGAAAACCTAGGACACTGCTTTCGGTTTAGGACTGATTAACAGGCAAAAGCAAGGAGGATAAAGACCTGAATAATTTAATTTAAAAGGCTGATTGAAATAGATGTAGACAACATCGTATCCTACAAACAAAGATAACATCTTCTGCCAGGAAGCCCTGGGACACTGAAAAAGTTGTCCATATTTAAGCCACAAATAAACTGTGAATAAATGGCAAGAGGCATAAAAAACACCGGCCACATTCTTTGACCAGGAAAGCAATAAAAGTAGTTATTAATAATGAAAGAATAAATACACAAGATGCCCATCCCCCAACTCCTAAACACTTGGAAATGTAAGAAACTGCCCTCTTAAATAACACCAGATCAAAACGGAATTTCAAACTGTAATTACACAATATTTAGAAAATAACAAAGAAGGAGATACCAGAGCAAATGGGATAAGGTCTGAATTATACTTGGAGGAAAATCCACAGCCGTAATTATTTCATTACCAAACCCAAAGGAACACAAATAAATGGACTAAACATTCCACTTAAGATTTTGGGGAAAAAATTCAAAGGCCGATAAAACACACCAAAAGAAAACAGGAGAAAGGAACAGGAAAGTGGCAACGGAAATTAATGAGTCAGGAAGCAGGATACCGTTAGCAAATCACTGCTGATTCTGTGTGTGTGTATGTATCATAACAATAAAAAAAGAAGATAAGCCAGGGCAACTTGAGGGGGAATGAGAACACAAATGCTCAGAATTAGAGATCACAAAGAAAACAACAGCAAAACAAATATAGTAGAAGCTTTTTTTTTTTTTTTTTTTTTTTTTTTTTTTGGTGAGATGGAATGTTGCTTCATTGCCCAGGCTGAGTGCAGTGGAGTGATCTCGGCTCACTGCAATCTCCACCTCCCAGGTCCAAGCGATTCTCCTGCCTCAGCCTCCCACGTAGCCAGGAATACAGGCACCCACCACCACGCCCGGCTAATGTTTGCATTTTTAGTAGAGACAGGGTTTCACCATGTTGACAAAGCTGGTCTCGAACTCCTGACCTGAAGTGATCTGCCAGCCTCAGCCTCCCAAAGTGCTGGGATTACAGGTGTCAGCCACCGTACCTAGCCTATAGTAGAAACGTTTTAATGCAAGAACATATGATTTATAATTCTACCTCTTAAACACCAAACGTCCCATAAGATTCAAATTATCAAAGGAGTTTCAAAAGATGCCAAAAAGAAGTAAAACCTTTGACAATGACCTCACCCCAAAAGGCACTGGACTCAGATGGTTTTATGGGCACATTCATTCACACACTCAAGAAAGAAATACTTATGCATAGAAATGTGTAGCAGGCTTCCAGATCTATGTTACAAAGCCAGCATGACCCTGATCTTAAAATCAAACACATACACAAATGAACCATGTTTAATCTGCTGACGACAAGGAGATACACACGTTTTTATCTGAGTAAGTGATAAATATCTCTCTCTGAGGATGCCGAGTCCCCGTGAACCAAGGCTGTCCCAGCTCCTGGGGAGACCCCAACTCCCTCCCTCCCCAGACCCTCCAAACGCATGCTCAGTTTCTGCGCTCTCCCCTTTCCCCACACTCACAACCATCAGGAACTGTCTAAAGCGGAGACATTTTGCCCCCAATCCAATCCCTTGTTCTCACTTCACACTTCAGTTCTGGTCTGTCAGCTGACGCCTAATGACTGCTTGTGTCAAAACAATTGCTAGGAAAGAAAACATAATTTTCCATTTGATCCTTTCTCCCCACGCTACAGCTCTCCTCGGACACCCTGTCCAGCTGTGTGTCACCTGAAGACTCCTGGGCACATTCAGAACACGTCCCAGTGGAGATCTAGACAGTTACAGCCCGCAAGTTCCCGGCAACCTCACCCATGAGCATTCTTCATTGGCGTTCCCTGTCCTCAGGGTTCCCAGCTCACCCACAAAACAAAGGAGGCCAGAAGTGGGTGCTTCTGGGGCCTCCAGCCTCCGGGGGAGGAAAAATAAAGCTGGTCAAGGATCACTCATAAAGGGAACATAATTCAGTCTGTACATACAAGAAAGAAAAAAGGCAAATGCCAAACTCAGCTGTTTTTCAGATTTTTAAAAAGGGAACTAAATGCTCTATCTAGTAACCTTAGCAGCCTCAAATATAAATAATACACGCAGGCACCCACATGCTTCATTTCCCTTATGGGCAGTTAAGCAGCTTGAGAGGGCTTAGGAGGTGTCTAGTGAGAGGAGGGGACAGATATTTGGGTAGAAAAGA